TCAGGACCCTGGACCTGCCCATCTATGTGACCCGTGTGAGAGGAAACAGTGTTTATTGCCTGGACAGGGAGTGCAGGCCGCGTGTCCTCACCATCGACCCCACAGAGTACCGCTTCAAGCTGGCCCTGGTTAACCGCAAATATGATGAGGTTAGTCCGTGGTGTTTCTGTGAATGAATTATTGGATTGGAAAGATACATCTGTGATCTCAACTTCTTAATTTTCTTTGATTTGTCCAGGTGCTCCACATGGTGCGTAATGCCAAGCTGGTGGGTCAGTCCATTATTGCCTACCTGCAGAAGAAGGGCTACCCTGAGGTGGCTCTGCACTTTGTCAAAGATGAGAAGACACGCTTTAGTCTGGCTCTAGAGTGTGGAAACATTGAGGTGAGCTGCTGCTATATTTTCTGATAAGCCTAAATTTACTCTATACCAAGTTCAGCTCATCACACTCTAGTTTTGATTCTCTGTCGGCTGTCTAGTTCAGTTTCTTTTTTTACACACTTCTTTCTCTATATTTCCAGGTGGCTCTGGAGGCCGCCAAGGCCCTGGATGAGCGCAGCTGCTGGGAGCGTCTGGGTGAAGCAGCACTGCTGCAGGGTCACCACCAGGTCGTGGAAATGTGCTACCAGAGGACCAAGAACTTTGACAAGCTCACGTTCCTCTACCTCATCACTGGCAACCTGGCTAAACTGCGCAAGATGATGAAGATCGGTGAGAGATTCTTTTTGTTAAAGGATTTTTTTTTATTGTACCAAAGATGTGATGATTTGGTTTGAGGTTTGAGTTTACTAATATTTGTGCACTCTCTGTTTGCAGCTGAGATCAGGAAGGACATGAGCGGTCACTACCAGGCAGCTCTCTACCTTGGAGATGTCAGTGAGAGGGTCCGCATCCTGAAGAACTGTGGACAGAGTGAGTTCAAGCGTCAACCCCATCCTGTTACCTGTTACCTGCATACATCAGCCCTGATGTCCACCTCACTGTTTAGCAATTGTTGCCCTACCTGTAGGTTGTAGTGCTAGGCATGCAGAATCATTTTAATTTCCACCATACTATAAATGTGTTTTTTAAATGGTTGACAATGGAACAGAAAGCCATCATGTGTAACTGTTTGTGTGCCTGTTTCCAGAGTCTCTGGCTTACCTGACTGCAGCCACTCACGGGCTGGATGAAGAGGCTGAGGCGCTGAAGGAGACCTTTGACCCAGAAAAGGAGACGGTGTGTTGAGAAAATGTAACATGGACAACTGTAACATGCAGTCTGAAGCAGAAGATGTGCACTCAATATGTTCTTTTTAGTGTAGTGGAGCATTTTGACCTGTTTTTTTAAATGTGTTTTTACATTTCAGGTGCACCACAGGCAATAAAATCACTCTAATGTTAGTGGACAAACAAATAAAGTAGTGCTCTTTGTGTCTTGTAGGTGCCAGAGGTTGATCCCAATGCCCAGCTGCTGCAACCTTCTCCACCCATCAACCCTCTGGACACCAACTGGCCTCTGCTCACTGTATCAAAGGGCTTCTTTGAGGGAGCCATTGCAGCAAAGGGTGAGTCATCAGATGCACACATACATACACTTACTGTACGTACATACACATACACATTATTTTACAATAGCTATTATGCATGAGTAAGTAGTGTTAAAAGTAAAAATAACATGAAATTACCTGTGTAAGTTGTGGAAACGTGTGGCAGCCGGCTCAGTCAGAGTGAGAATAGTGTTTTTGTGTTGTAGGGAAGGCAGGTCAGATGGCTGCCGACCAGGACATGGATGCCCCAGGAGGCGAGGGCTGGGGAGACGATGCTGAGCTACAGCTGGATGAAGGTAAATCCAGCGACTAAAGAATATTTTAAACCTGACCTTTCAGTAAGCAGATTGGGTCACGTTCATCTTTCTTCCATCTGTCTCTGTTTCTCAGATGGCTTCATGGAGGCCCAGGAAACGTTTGGGGAGGAAGGAGCGGTGAAAGAGGAGGGAGGAGGCTGGGAGGTGGAAGAAGACCTGGATCTTCCTCCAGAGCTGGTGAGAGAAGCTATCAATATAAATCCCATCAATAAAATAGGATTAACATGTTAACAAGAATAGTGTTGATAGATGTTGATGGCACATTTTGAGGTGTCAAGCCTATATTTTGTTACCCCCAACCATCAGGACATACCGGCTGGCGGAGGTGGAGGAGTAGAGGACGGCTTCTTCGTCCCACCCACCAAGGGCATGAGTCCTACGCAGATGTGGTGCAACAACTCCCAGCTGCCAGTCGACCACATCCTGGCTGGCTCTTACGAAACTGCGATGAGAGTATGTACACTTTGATATTAATTTAAAAAAATAAAATAAAATTGTTTTTTGTGTTGAAATGTTCATTCAAGCATTATACTGGAATTCACTGTCCCCCCTTTCCGTATCACAGTTGCTTCACGACCAGGTAGGAGTTGTGAGCTTCGAACCCTACAAGTCGCTGTTCATGCAGACGCTGTCCCGAGGCCGCACCTGTTACCTGGGGCTGCCTTCGCTTCCCTGCCTGCGCAGCCATCCCCAGAGGAACTGGAAGGTACAGCTGTTAGTTTTTTGTCATCTAATAAGAATCACATCATGTTTTCTGTTTCTAATCATATTTATACAAATAATTATCATTTTTTTAGGACTGTGGGGCAAAGCAAGGACTTCCTGCTGTGGGCCTGCGCCTCTCTGACCTCATCGCCCGCCTGCAGCAGTGCTACCAGCTGACCACGGCCGGGCGGTTTGAGGAAGCTGTAGAACGCTTCAGGGCTATCCTGCTGTCTGTACCTCTGCTGGTGGTTGACAACAAGCAGGAGATTGCAGAGGTGAGCACCAAACCGGCGATAAATTGCAATCAGACTTCTCATTGTGCATATGACTTTCAAATAAAGTAATATAGTTCACACACAGATACAGACCTATATATATTTAGAAACTATTAAACATGTAAGGGTCACCTGTGTGATTTGGATCTGTGTGTGTTTGTTTCAGGCTCAGCAGCTGATCACAATTTGCAGAGAGTACATCGTGGGTCTGACCATGGAGACCGAAAGGAAGAAGTTGCCTAAAGACACATTGGAAGAGCAGAAGAGGCTGTGTGAGGTAAATATCTTTTGTCCCCTTGATTGAATGTCAAAGCTGTTGACTGACCGTCTCCAAAATGTATCTACAAAGTGATCGGTAGTCATACTTCTGTTTCATTCCTAAGCCTAATTCTCTTATGTATGTGTTTTTTTTCACCTTACAGATGGCTGCTTATTTCACCCACTGTAATCTCCAACCAGTCCACATGGTGCTGGTGTTGCGCACAGCTCTGAACCTCTTCTTCAAACTGCGTAACTTCAAGATGGCTGCAGGCTTTGCGCGACGCCTGCTCGAGCTGGGGCCGAATCCAAATGTCGCACAGCAGGTTGGTTCCCATTTAAAGTTTCCAGTTTTAAAACGGATGGTAACTATACTCTTGTCTCATCTCTTACCACGATGTCAAATATCTCCCTACCATTCAGACCCGCAAGATTTTGGCAGCCTGTGAGAAGACCCTGACAGATGCCCACCAGTTGAACTACGACCCCCACAATCCATTTGACCTGTGCGCCGCCTCCTTCGTCCCTCTGTACCGTGGACGCCCTGTTGAGAAGTGCCCTCTGTCTGGAGCCTGCTACTGCCCGACGTACAAAGGCCAGATCTGCAGGGTCACACAGGTAAGTCGGGACCAGGAGCAGCCATGTACAAATCCACCTGAAAGGCTCTTTGCTTTTATATTGTACTTTTATAACAAGGCAACTTTATAAATCTGAACAGTAGTGACAAATGCACAATTTAAAAAGCAAATGTTACTGATTTAATTAACTTAATATTTGTAGAATACTGACATTTATTCAAGTTGGATGGTGTTTGTGGATCAGGAAGACTAATTTCAGACACGTTTGCAAATCTTGATTTTATTTGTGGGTCACGAAAACTGCATTTGTCACCAATACGGAGACTTAATTTCTCCGTATACGGGAGAAAATAACATTTTAATCAAAATAAAATGGGAAACCGCTAATGCCTGCAATAGTAGTTTAGTTTAGTAGTGTTTTTATCTAAAAGTAAAGTCAGGGGCCTCCTGGTGGTTGTGTGGATGTCTGTGTCTCTATCGTCACTATTTATTAAAAAGGCAAAACCTAGAAAAAGACAGTACAACAAGAAGTCGTGGTTATATTCTTCATCGTTTTCCCCTTTTAACCTCTAACCTTATTTTCTAGGTGACGGAGATCGGTAAGGACGTGATCGGTCTGCGTGTGAGTCCACTTCAGTTCCGTTAAGAGGAGGGTGAAGACGACGAGACCAAGAGAAAGAAAACAATCTGTTCGGAGAAACACATCCGCACTTACTCCGTAGAAATAATACAATTATTAACACGACAAATGAAAAGATCTATATGTTTGCTCACAGTGATGTTGAACCTCTTTAATCCTTTCTAACTATCTTTATTCCCCATACATCGGCTTTCCTGCATTAAAAAAAGCTTTTCTCGTCAGTGCTGCTGCGTCGTCTTTGTGCTGTGGCTTTATTAGAGCTGTAAACCTAACTGATGTCTCTTTTCTGACTTGTATGAGATGAGTAATTCAAAGTTAGCAGCACTGCTCTGTGTATCTGGAAGAGGAGGAGGAGGGGGGGAAGAAGGACATAATAAAATGGCTTTATCAAAGGAAATCCAGTGTGTGTTTGTGTCTTTTTGATGTGGTATGTGGGCACTGCTATAGAAAGAGGATGGTTGTATAAAGTGGTTAAAGAATATCCAAAGTGCACTACAAGGTTGAGTCATCACGGGTGTAAATGGAGTTGAGTCACTCCTGCGTTGTAAATGCACTGGTCTTTAAATTAATTAAAAATAAGAAAGTGTTGAGATAAAATAAAATAAAAAAAAATAGGACGTGAAGATAACTTAAAAAATATATATATAAAAACTTAATAATAACTCCCGTTGCAGAGATTTTCCGAGCTGCCATTTTGACAGGAGACCGGAACCAAACAGCGGAACCCGGACGTTTTCCATGTCAACACTCACTGTTGTGTTCCGCTTTTTCAAACCAGGAAGATGGATTCACTGTCGAACAAATGGATTCTCCACCTGATAGTTTGTTCGTTTTTCATCGGTAAGTTGTTCCCGCGGCTGTGCTCAACCTGTTCAGCCAGCGAGCCGAGTGGGTTTCTGTTTCCGGGCCGTTAACTTGATTGAGTTTCTTTGTGGTCTGAGCTAGCCGAATGCTAAGCTAAGTCAGCGTTAGAGAATCGCTTCAATACAAGTTTTCCACAAAGGGGCTTCGGCGTCGTAGCGCTTCTACGCCCCGTTTACACCCAGTTGGAGTTGAGAAATAACCACGTATCTGGTTTTTATTAAGTGTTTTCGACGACTTTTCAGTGCGGTAGTCACAGATTGGGTTTGCCCTCCTGACTGCTCGTGATTTCCCCCCCCCGTCCCCGCTGCGGCCGCCCGGAGCTCGAGGGGATTAAACGCTAGAACATCACGCCAAACTACATTCAATTATTTGTGGTGTAATGTCGATTTGGTTGTTGCTGAAAACCCAAAGCAGGTGGAAGCACAAATTAAGTCACTTTTCACATCTTTAGGGTGTCCTGGTGAATTCGGCTCACAGGTGACCCGTTGAAATTGCACTTTGTTTGAATTAAAACCGGGTTTTTTTAAAGTTTACATTGACTTTAGTGCTGTTTCTGAGTGGAAAAAGGCTGTGGGACCAACAGGTGAACCAAACCGAAAAGCTCACTCTCTATTAAAAACCCTACACTGGCCTCTTGCAAGAGTTGTAAGTGTCTGAACAAACGAAAAGTGAAAGCATTTAAAATTATACACCGAAACAAATAGATATATATTAATATTTTGTCCACCCCATTTCTATTAATGAGGGTAGGTTAAATAATCTGTATACATATATCTGTACAGTTCGACTGCACCACAAACTACATCCTCCACAATGGTCCTATAGCTGATTCGGTACCTTTATAAGACTGTTTCGACAAAAAAATAACATTATTACCTTCACAAATGTGGGATTTATTGCATTTATAATCGCTTTTAGCAAGGTGTGCCTAATAAACTGGCAAATGAGTATTTTCTAGACACCTTTCCCATATGTTTTTCTATTCAATACCTCTGCTGCTCGCTTCTTTTATTATGTTACCTTAGTTTGTTTCATTAGTTTTTAGCTAAAACCTTAAACTGGCAACTAAATGTAGATCTTAGATGCCACATCTTCCAGCTAGTCTCACCACTATGAATGTGTTTTTGATCGTGAGAGATAAAGGATGTCACTTTCATTTTAGGTTCTCTGAATAATTAAAAACCCACAAAATTGTGACAGAAAAACAGATTTCCTCTCATTACGA